TTATATAAGTGCCTTTGATAGGATCTCTTTTGTGTACTAGCTTTCAAAATTACCTTTATTGTTGCTTGTCATTTTTGTTGAACTCTTTCTAGTTTGTCTCATTTTCATTCCACCAATTGGTGTAGCTATTCTAAATTGTGCCTTTTCAGTTTTTACACTAATATTCCAGTCTTGAAGGTGGTTGAGTGCTTCTTAAAAGGTGTAGGAGGCCAAGCCAAAGGAAGTCAACTTGAAGGATTTGGTGGTTGCTTAGGGAGTTTGTTCTTTCTTGAAGGAAAGACTCTTGAAAACACCAAGAAGTGACCAAGTCAAGGTTGCTTCTAAAAGAGGAGTGAAACATCTTGTGAGATTGCAGTTTGGTGGCTGGATTGGAGCAAGAAGGAACCAAATTATTTGTGAAATATTTTGTGAAAATTTAGAAACTAATTTTAGTGACGGAATTTTTAGTTTCTAAAACTTGTTTTCCTTACAAAATCTGTCCTTTAAAAAGGCAAATTTAACATTCAAGTGAAAGATTTTCCATCCATATTGAGCCGCTAATGCAACAATTAATCAAATTGTTTCATGCCTAGCAATCAGTGCAAATGTATCACCATAATCAATTCCAACCATTTGAGAATACCCCTTCACAACAAGCTTTGCTTTGTGCTTGTGGATGGAATACAGCAGAACTTTACCCACTAATACAAAAAACCTTAATTAATTATAGCAGTAAAAAATAAAGAAAAAGTTTTACTGCTTTAACACTCCTTAAAACTTTTCTTAAGGACTCCCAACTTGTTTCTTAGCTCATTAAACTTAGCACTTGGAAGGGCCTTAATGAGTATGTCTGCCAATTGCTCCTCGAACCTGCAATACATCAACTGAACATCTCCATTCTTCTCAGCTTCCCTTATAGCATGAAATTTGACATTGATATGCTTGGTTCTTCCATGTTGAATTGGATTTTTAGCATTTGAAATGGCTGACTTGTTATCACACCATAGCACAATAGGTTCCATTTGCACATGACTCAAATCTGTCAAGACTTTCTTGACTCATATAGCTTGATTTGAGGCAACTGCTGCAGCTACATATTTAGCCTCGGTAGAGGATTGAACAACCACATCTTGCTTCTTAAAGTTCCATCATTACCAAGTGAAAAAACATATCATGTTGTGCTCTTAGAGTCATCAATAGATCCAACCCAATCACTATCAAAAAAACCTTCAACCTTTCATTACTTTTGCTATACCAAATGCCAAAATTAGTAGTACCTTTCAAGTATCTCAACACTCTTTTGCCTACACCAAAGTGTGTTAAACTTGGTGAATGCATGAACCTTGAAAGTAAACTACTGCAGAACATCAAATCTGGTTTGGTTGCAGTCAAATAAAGAAGACTACCAACCAAACTTCTATATTAAGTCACATCTGCCTTTGCATCACCATCAGCCTTGAAGAGCTTTTCGCTGACAGCAAGTGGAGTTCTATGGTCTTCTAGGAGTCCTTCTGGCTGACTTTCCTTCGATCTTTGGGGGTCTTCGAGTTTTATTTCCGACCCGGACAATTTTAGGGGTCTACACATACTTTTTCTGTGAGAGAAAAATTCCATCATCAAACTTATGCACTTCCATCCCTAAAAAATACCTCATCACTCCAAGATCTGTCATTTCAAAAACCTGCAACATGTTGTTTTTAAACTCTTCAATTTCATCAACATCATCGCCTATAATCAACAAATCATAAACATAAAGTGAAACCACAATTTTCTTTTCATTGCCACAATCTTTCACATAAAGAGTAGGCTCATTTTGGCTCCTCTTAAAATTATTTTGTAGAAAATGAGAATCAATTTTGTTGTACCAAGCTCTTGGAGCCTGTTTCATCCCATACAAGGCTTTATGAAGCCTATAAAATTTTTCTTCATGACCTGCAACAATAAAACCATCAGGCTGTTCAACATATATTTCTTCTTGCAACACTCCATTTAAAAAGGCAAATTTAACATTCAAGTGAAAGATTTTCCATCCATATTGAGCCGCTAATGCAACAATTAATCAAATTGTTTCATGCCTAGCAATCAGTGCAAATGTATCACCATAATCAATTCCAACCATTTGAGAATACCCCTTCACAACAAGCTTTGCTTTGTGCTTGTGGATGGAACCATCTGGATTTAATTTTGTTCTATAAACCCATTTGACGTCAATCACATAAGTTATTATAATGAGATATAACTTATAATGTTATATGCCTAACATACATTGGTGCAGCGTAAAGGGAAACTGAGGCTGCATGGCCTGCAAGAAAGAAAGAAAGAAAAACATTCTAATGAGCCACTGTTTTTGAAGACTCAAATAATCACAATCCTAAGTTGTAAGCTTAGGAATGAATGAATAAACGAAGAAGTACCAAGAACAGCAACAGCCAAACGAAGGTTCTCTGGCATCTTTTGTTCTTTTAGTGAATACTTTGGGGTTTGAAGTTTGAAGAGGTGAATATTTTATACTGTGTTGAGAAGTGCATCGAGAAAGCTCTATTTATAACAACAGCTTGGGAGTACTATTGAACGCGTAGGGTCAAACATAAAATAATATATAATTTAGAAATGAAAACAATATTTAAAAAGGAAGAAGTGCTGTCTACGTCTTTAATATTTATGTGGATGCAAAATTTTGTACAAATTCAGAAGCTTTAAAAAAAGTCCGTGAAACCTAAGGATAAAGAGGAATCTAGGAATCTAGGGAAAAAAAAAAGTCCGTGACACTTATGACACATGGCGTCACGTCAAGCGTACGTGAAGAGTCATGACCCTTCATTGAGCTCGGTATTAACTCCTCGACCCATGGTCTTCGGAGTTCGGGGGCTAGTGTACTATCTGTACCGCTAAGCTGAGCTTGAGCTCGGCATCACAGCGAAGATTGACATCGGATATGCACCACATGACATCGGCCAAGACAAAGGCCCACTATCTGAACAGGTCATAATCGATCTCAAGCCCAAGGCCTAGATAAATCCTAATTCACACTAAGGTACGTGCATTACTTATACGAGATCCATACACCCACAAACACTAACTTTAGTATCGGAGTCTCTTTTGCAGGTACTACCCCCACTTTGGAGCAGCAAGCGTACCTAGTGAAGGAGGCTCACCAATCTTGCCCAGCCGATCTTCCCCTACAACTGATCTCCGGTAAGAACACTTACAAAACATTTCATTGATCAAAATTTATTTTATTTTTTAAATTTAATATGAAGCATAAAAAAATATATAAGTGCAAAGCTCAATTAAAATCTAGAGGATTAAAATTATTTAATTATAACACGTGAATGATAAAAACAAAATTAAAACTTTATATTTTCTCTGTAATTTTGGTGATTGCAATATCATTGAATTTTTTTAGAACTATTATTGGACTTTTATGAAATGAATATATATATATATATATTTTTTTTTTCTTCTAATACACCATATTTTACACAAATTAAAAGAAAGTAATTTAAGAATGAAAAAGAAAAGGAAATTCGAATTTGTGTATATCAATTTTGATCACGGTTACTCATACTCGAACAAAACTTATGGAAATTATGAGAAGGATTTAAAGACATCGGTGTAACTTTTATTAAGTATTACATCGTTTAAAAATTTATATTAAATATGAATTTTATAAATCTAATCGTTATATTGAAAATTCTTTATTTTTAGATTATATATACAAAATTTTATATTAATATAAGATGATTTGATAGTTGATTCTTATAAAATAAAATTGACTAATATATACATTTCAAAATATAATAAAATACGAACATTTTGATTGCCTTCAAATTGTTGTTTAATTTTAACACAATTTGATATAAACATATAAAGTGATAAAAAGTTATAATTCAACGGTTGAATTTACAAAATTTACATTTATATAAAATTATTGAGCGGTATAATACTTAGTAAAAGTTATACCGATATCATTTGTACTTCCTCAAAATTATTTAGAAAATAAAAAAACTGTTGTACAAAGTATGGGTTTAATTCCCATTTCAAGTAATTTAAATTAATCTTCGACTCCTATTCATCGAGTATCGAGAATATTCATATTAATTTAAAAGTTAATTAATATATATTTTAAAAAATATATAATTTTTCAACATACAAAAATAATTATATTAATTAAGTTTATTTTAAAGAAATTTAAAATAAAATAAAAATTATATAAATATCTTTAAAAGATAAATTTAAATTTAAAATTTTAAAAAAAATATACATACAAGACAATTACTAACATATTTTCACCTATTTTTTAGTTAGAGTGTGTTAGTGACCTATACCAAAATTTTAAGACAAGAAAATTATTCATTTATTTTGATTTGGTTAATTTGTATAAAAATATTATTATAATTTAATTTAATTTTAAAATAAAATAAAAATATTTTCACTATTCTATTAATTTCATTCTCCAACTCATTTCTCATTTCTATTAATTAAATTAAATTAAATTTTAAAGGAAAATAAAACATTTTCTCTCTCTTATTAACTTCATTCTCTCTCTCAATTTTTTTTTCATTCTCTAACTCATTTCTCTCTCCTATTAAATTCTTTCTCCAACTCATTTCTTTTATACCTCTCGTGATATCGCTCTTCTCTCTGAACAAATAAAAATTAATTAATAGAAGATAAAAATAAGTTGTAAAAGAAATAAATAATTTTTATCCTAAAATTTTAATATAAATTAATGACATATTCCAACTAACAAATAGTCAAGAATATGTTAACAATCACCAAATATATCCCATTTAACAAATTAAATATTTTTCATTCATGTGAGATCAAATAAAGATAGTCGTAATGAAAATTGAAAGGTCCTCTTGTTTCTAATTATTCCCAACCCCTCCACACCCAATCATTAGGCTAACCCTAGTGATTAAAAAAAAAACTAAATATTTTTCATGAAAATAAGAACTAATTATAAGTATATCAATAAGAACACTATGAATTCATGTTTATTTGTCATCCATGTTGAAAAAGGTGTTGCCTCACATCACATGATAGCAAACAAAACGGCATAGCAAGACAACGATCGAGGGCGCACACAACACAAGTTCCCGCGTAGAATCACGATGGCAGAGAACGAAATCCAAATCCAAATCCGCACCCTAACCGGCGAATCCACCACCGTTCCCATCACTCCGGCCACCACCGTCCACCACCTCAAGCTCCTCCTCTCCCACTCCTTCCCCCCCGCCACCACCTCCCCCAACTTCCACCTCTTCTTCAAGGCACTCTCTCTCCCTTCAATTCCCCTTCCACACTCTCCCACATTCACTAACACATTTCTTCTTTCAGGGTCACAAACTGCGACCGCACACTCAACTCGCCACTTTCCCCATCCAACGCACCGAGTTTCTCGTCCTCGTTCCCTTCGCCAAGAAGGAGAAGGAACCTCCTCCACCGCCCCAACCGGTTACCGCTCCAGCCTCCTCCTCTCTCGCCGACTCCACCTGGTCCTCCATAATGGACGATTTGTCGCACTTGCGCCACGCCACCGGGAGTTCCGGTAACGCGTCGGAGGCGCCAACCGAAAAGCGTTTGGGCCCCGAGAAGCCCATAGAGCTTCCGTATCATCTCATATTGAACACGCTGCGGGACGACGGCGGCGGCGACGGCGCTCTCGGCGACCACAATTGCGAGGTTTTCGCGAAGGTCTTGGAGTCGGTGAGTTGTTTATCGGACCTGCCTCTCGGACACTGCAAGCTGTTGAGACGAGCTCGTTCGAAAGGAGGGAGAGGATGTGTTGGTGATGGTGCCGCGTGCTTGTGTCCACCGTGGCTGAAGATTGCAGTGAAGGCGTTTGCTTTTGTTAATGTTTTTTCAGCGTTTCTTTATTTGCAGCGCCGGAGGCTGACCTCGATTCTCATGGAAAAGGCGTTTAATGAGCTTGCGAAGTTTGGGGTTGAACTTGGCGTTGGTGACATAGAGCATCTTTCGCTTCTTTGTCCTCATGTAAATTCATTCATTTTGTTTAGCATTTTCAGTTTTCTGGTGTGTTTGGAAAACAGTTGAGTTGAATTCAACTGGGATTGAAAAAAAATTACACTCACGAGCTTTTACTTTTTCTGCATCGGAATGTGTGTTTTTTCTGTTGAAGGTGGTGTTTCTATTATTATGAAGTAAAGGTGAGGTTGTAGGAATGGGGATTGTTTCTTGAAGTAGTTATTCCACGTTGAATGCGTTCTATTGTACTTGTCTGCAGAGGTGAAACGTTTATAGTGTATTGCTTTTTCCTGCTCTAATATGTGGATTGAATTCTTTTGCAGCTGGTATGTTTTGGTGATGATGTAGACAAGACTAGTTTTGGTGATGTTATTGTGATTGTTAACTGTTCAACTTGCATTGAAGATCAAAGTGAAGAGAATCCTAAAAGAGGTATATTGAAGATGTGGATTGTTGTCTCTGATATTTACTGTTTTTCCCCCCATTAAGAGAGTTGTTTCTGTTTTTGGTTTACATGTCTTTTTTAATAGTGCGCAAGTGGATGTATGTTTCAAAGATTGTCAGTACATTGAAGAGAAGGGACAGTTCTTTCCGGAAACATGTCGGGTGGGCTTTTGAGCAGCTGCCGGTATGTTTTTTTAACACTAACCACCATGAATGATCAATTGTGGACCTATTTATGTCTACTGGAAGTTTGCATTTGGCCTTATTGTAATGGGTAAACATTTACTTCTGAACCAAACTTTGATTATGTATCTTAGAATTTGCACTGTATCCGATATATCCATATGGCTTAACTTTGACGGATATTTCACTTAATAGTGTGAATTTGTATTTTCCCATTCTAAATTCACAAATTTCACTAGCAAATAGTGGCTTTTTTTATAATAAGTCATAGCATTATGATTATGTCAGTATGGTGTTAATTCATAAAATCCAAGTTATTATGTAGTCTAGGCATGCAACTTTCTTTGCTGACGAAACTTTGTTGCGCTAAAAATACACTCAAGGGCAAGTGTACCCTATATCAAAAGTAACAAAGGGAGGGACGGACCAAAAGGACTAAATGATAAGTACTAATTTTCAGAGATTATATGTTGTTCAGGCAACCAAATTTTCAGTGGGAAAGTTGTACTACCCTGATTATGAAAATCTTCAATTTAACAGAGTTGAGGTTTAAAATTTATACAAGACTTAAGAAAACTTTGGGTTACAACTTCAATGCTCCAATCCTAATTTAGCTGAACCCTAATTTTGATTGTCAATTATGCCTCTTAGGTTACTAATTACTTTTTATCATGGTATTTAGCAGTCTTTACTTAATACGAACTCCTAATGGTTCATAATATTATTCATATTAAGGAAAACATGATGTTCAATGAGGTTGGTTAAAATAATTAACCTAAAAGAAAGTTTAGAAAACTTATTTGATCATACAATCCTCCAAACTTGATTTTCTTACAGTTTCAAAAATTAACAGGCATTTGTCATTTTCTATCAATTAACTTAATCAATCAGAGTGATCATGTTCATTGCACAAATTAAAATAGCAAGACAATCCAATTTGTACAGGAAGCCTCCTGTATCTTCAAGCTTCCTCCTTTCTCCCATAATCACACTCTCTCTCCTCAGAACTCAAAATAAGGATATTTAAAAAAAGAGGCAAAAATTGAAGTCTCCTAAACTTACACCCTCATTTCTATTTACAGAGTTTACAGACTCGTAACTTTTTAGCATGGTCATGCTAGGATTAGCATCATTGTGCTTCTTCTGCACAGGCATGCTAACTTTTTGGAATGGAGACTTCAAAATTCAAGTATGGTTGTGCCAGATGAGCACAATCGTGCTCATCTATTCAGGGCATGCTAGCTTCAAGAATTCAGCATGGCCATTTTAACATAAGCACACCCATGCTTCATTAAGAGCTCTTTTTCTTCAAGGAAGCCTCCTTTTCTGACCCTTTTTTCCTATTGAACTCCTGATCACCTGTCTGTTGCATAGTTAGACAAAAAAGGGAGTTCTTCCAATACAATTGTGCAATAATTGGGCAAAACTTAAATAAAAAATACCTGACTAATAATCAACAAATACAGGTTTAACAAACTGATACAGTAAAAGATGGTAGACAAAAACTAAAGTGATAGAATTTGGGAAGAGAAGTATGATAATTTGAATTGGAACAATTAAAGGAGGGGTTCTAGACCTAGTGTTTAAAAACCTTTCAAGTTTGAAATTGTAGTATGATGACTAAAGAAGAATAACATAAAAGAAGAATATTTTAAAATCCCCCTGCATTAGGAACAATGTATCAGTAATATTAAAGATGCTGATAATGTGCATTCTTATTTGCAGTTTGAATTTGGAGATGAGATGACTGTGGGAATTTCCATGGAAGAGCTTCTAGCAGCAGTCAAGGGCTGTGATTTTGTTGGAAAAGAAGACAAATCAAAGCGTGTAAAGAGAAGCAAAACTACCTCAAAACCTGACTTAAACCATACTGGGTGTCATGTATGCACTCATCTATGTTGCATATTTAATTTTAACTTTTAGTCTTCTGTGTATAGCCAAAATTTATCTGATGCAAGGGGATAATGATTGAAAGCATTGGAAAAAAATAAAATGTCCCTTTTCATAAGTTAAAAAAAAATTACTAAAAAAATTCAATCAGTATGTGTTGCTGAAATTTCTGACAGAATGTGTTTGATGTTTAAAGAGATGGTTGTGAGAGATTATTGCATGTTGAAATATATTGCTGAAAGAGATGTATCTATTGCTGAAATTCTACCATTAGGGTAGAGCATATTTCATTGCTATATCACTTGCTCTTGGATTGGCAGGACACAAAGTCTTTACTAGCTCTAGACATGATTGATCATCTTAAGAAAGGCATTGGATCCGAAGGACAGGTCTTTTCTATTTTATTGTAATAGTTTTTTTGGTTTTTGGAATATATGTGAAATCTTCAATTCACCATGATTGGCTGCATATGATGACAATAATGCATTGTCAAGTAAACACGATCAATCTTGTTTATAGACAAATTTAATGTTCCTGTTTCACTTATGATTATGTATTGAGGCATGTCTTACTCTACTGGTGTATAATGCTGCATTATGAAAGTTTGGTTAATGCAGATTGTGCATATCGAAGACATATGTGCCAGAAAAGCAATTTACAGTGAGTTCCCAATTGAACTATCTGAGAAAATGAGATCTGCACTAAAGTGTATTGGAGTTTCCAAATTTTACAGTCACCAGGTACAAATTGAATACATGGAAATGGTGTCTTCCAAGCTAATAGTGTCTTACTCAGAATCAAATATTTTCTGCTGCTTGGTTTACATAGGCAGAGTCTATACAAGCATCCCTTCATGGCAAAAATGTTGTGGTGGCTACAATGACATCTAGTGGTAAATCCCTTTGCTATAACCTACCAGTTCTTGAGGTTTTGTTCAAGGATTCATCTTCATGTGCTCTATACATATTTCCCACAAAGGTTTGTTGCAGTCTATCCTTCAACTTCTCTATTCTAAATTCTAAATGCTTCCTGAGAATCATAATATCTCTTTCTCTTCTCTTGTGGGGATTGTTGTAATTAGATAGCTAAAATATTTCCATGCAGGCATTGGCTCAAGATCAACTAAGAGCTTTGTTACGCATGAGTAAAGGATTTGATATAGATTTCAATATTGGTATATATGATGGTGACACTTCTCTCAGTGAGAGGACGTGGCTACGTGACAATTCTAGATTGGTAATCTATGAACTAATTTTTCCTCTAGACCAGACAGATTCTAGCAAAATGTGCTTCATTTTATATTATACTGCAGTTGATCACAAATCCGGATATGTTACACATATCAATCTTGCCCCACCATCGACAATTTAGTCGGATTTTATCAAACCTAAGGTAGTTAGTTATATACAGTATTTGTTAAACCACATTGATTTGGTATTTATATGGATTATTGCTTAGTGGATTGTTATTGTATTGAGGTTTGCTCTGTCTTTATGAATTAGGTTTGTGGTAATTGATGAAACTCATACTTACAAGGGAGCATTTGGATGTCATACTGCGCTAATATTGAGGAGGCTAAAACGACTCTGTTCACATGGTTTGTGGAGCTTCAGGAAACATTTTCATATAAATTTGTCTATTTAAGTTTTAAATGGAAATATGAATTTGCTTCTACTTGCAGTATATGGATCTGTTCCTTCTTTTGTTTTTTCTACCGCAACTTCTGCAAATCCTCGGGAGCATTCCATGGTAAATAATTCTTGGAAGTAGTCACATTTTGCATACACTTAGTATTAAATCTTCTTTAGCATGCTGTTAGTCACATATGTAGCTGATTTTTAATGCATGCATGTTTTCCTGTCTTTTGTTAGAGTTGTAAGGTTATCTGTAAATTTCTTGGAATTGCTATACTACAGTACTCAAATTAAACCATAAATTGTCTGTCCCAGGAACTAGCAAATTTATCTACGCTGGAGCTATTTCAAAATGATGGAAGTCCATCTGCTAGGAAACTTTTTGTCCTTTGGAATCCTGCATTGCGTCCAAAAGCTGTGAGTTGAAGTTTTAATTTATATGTAAACTGTAAAATGTTATGTAGCTCTTATATTGTTAACTAAAGACATTTTATGAGCTAAATTCTGTTGCTACACCTCCACAGATCATTAAAAAAGCTCAGTTTGCTATGAGTACTGATGAGATTGCAGATGAAAGTGTTAATTTTGTTCGTTCAAGGTGATAATCCTCGTATGCATGGAAAAAAACATTACAAGTATTGATTTTGATGTATGAAGCCTTATGCTAAGTTGACGGGCATGCTTTAATCATTGCAGTTTCAGCTTGAATAATATGTGTTACTTTCCAACTCTTCTTAAAGCAAGTTGTTATTATATGGATTCCCTAGAATGATTTTATACCCCCTATATTCTATGTCATTCAAGAGCCCTTAAGGCTTAAAGCATGGTCAATGCATGGGCCTGGTTGACCTTGGGCTGATATTTAATGTCATTATGAAAATTAAAGAATGAGGCAACATGGCTTTAACTTCTGACCCTTGGTCTTAGATTCCAATACCATATTCAACATCAACTTTCCTAAAAACTTAACCTGCTATGTGAAAGCCTTGGAATTGTTTTATATGTAACTAGAAAAAGATACCTATGCAAGGCATGGAGGAGAGAACGACAGTTCAATCTCAATGCAGAAAAAGAAAAGCAAAACTGATAAAACTTGCTGGTGGAAAAAGAATTTATTGGAATCCGACACCTGTCCATACCCTGGACAGATTTAATATGTCATAGTCGTGGTAAAAAATATTTTTTTTCTAACAATTTATTTTCATTTTAATGGACAAAACCTCTTTTAGATTTTTCAGAACAGTATATTCAAATTTATATTCGTAAACAATTAGATTTCTATATAATTTTTTAAACTTTCCTCCATATTAGATTCAATGCATACTGCCAAATCAACTTAACATGCTGTGTAAAAATGAAGAGTGTTGAATACTGAATATTTTTATGAATTGTATACATTTTAGGGTTTGTAGCATTCTAAAGTATCTTTAGTTTGAATGCCATTGTGTGCTCTATTGTTATTTTTGCAGCCCAATTGTGGATGTTTCACGCCTTTTTGCAGAAATGGTTCAGCATGGTCTTCGCTGTATTGCATTTTGTAAATCACGGAAACTTTGTGAGCTTGTTTTATCCTATACGTATGTCAAATCAGTTTCATGTACTTGTGTAGTTTAGTCAAATCAATATTGTAATAGGCTAATTTACTTTTCTTAGATTTTCTTTTGGTTCTCTGATATCCATTATGGAATTTAAGTTTATGGTTATTTAGTGGTTAAAAAGGAAGATGCTCATGCAATTTGAATGCTGTAAAATGACACAGACGTGAGATTCTTCATGAGACAGCCCCACATCTGGTGGATTCCATATGTGCATATCGTGGTGGCTACATTGCAGAGGTATTTTTATTTATTTATTTTTTTTTTTGGGTTTAAAAATAGGCATTTAATGTGTGTGGGGCTATGGGCACATGTAATCTGTTTTCCTGTCTATAACACTGTCATGCGTAATTTAATACCTTGTTCATGTTGCGCTTATATACATAAAAACTCCAAACTTCCAAAGTAAATAACATTAGGAACAAGCATCTAAGATGCTATGATTTCATCACTTGTAAAATCCTTTGAGCTCTTCATTTTGACCTTTTGCCTGACGGTTATCATTGCTGTTGTCCATTATATACCATTTCATATATTATATGCCTGGCTTTGATATTGATCTCATGGTAAGCTGGGATAAATAATTAAATAGAAACAGTTGAGAAAGAGAGAACGAGAGACATGAGATGAATTCCATGTGTATGAATTAGAATTACACAGTGGAACATATATTTATATTAGGAGTCACAAAAACAAGGGTGATTACACATAGTTACTAGAATATACAATTAGTTAATTAACATAGTTGCATCAAGTGTAATTTGTCCTATTTAGATAATTACTATAACATTCCCTCTCAAGTTGGGGCATCTAAATCATATGCACCAAGGTTGTTGCACACGTAACTAACCTGAGGACCTCTCATTGACTTGGTGAAAACATCAGCCAGTTTATCATTTGAATTGATAAAGCTAGTGGTGATGTCTCTTGATGAAATCTTCTCTCTAATGAAAATGACAATCTATTTCAATATTTTTGGTCTTCTCATTGCATATTGGATTTGAGGCCATTTGCAAGGTTGTCTTATTATCACATTTGACAAATAAGTATCATCTGTCCAACTTCCTCAAACTTAGATCAGGAAAAGAGGTGGGATTATGACAAGGAAGGAGTGTTAGAGACTAGCATTTCATGCAGTGATAGATGGAACATTGAAAGGCTGCACATATCACACCAGTTCTGATTTCACAATGACAGTTCCACTACCGGAAAACTTCAAACCACCATCCATAAACTTCTATGTTGGGACTATCGATCTACAAGAGCACCTCACACTCTTTAACTCATGTTATTGAGTAACATGGCTAATCCTATTATGAGGTTATGTTTCTCTTTTATCATGGATGAAGATTAGTAGACTACCATTAAAGACCATAAATAGCTGTTAGTCATGCCACAAGTTGCAAGGTTTAGGCATCTTGGGTTCAATTTAGAAAGTGATGTAGAGATTAATGAGCTTGTATTGCATATGTTATAAACTAGATGGATGAAGTGGAGAAATTCTTTAGACATTATTTATGATCCCATTATGTCAAAAAAAGAAAATCTTACCATATGATTACTAGACCAATGACGCTCTATAGCGGTGAATGTTAGGCGGCAAAATGCCAACTAAATCAAAATATATTTAGCAAAGATTAGAATAATGAAATGCCAGAAATGGACATTTAGGAAGTTACCATTTATTTTATTCAAACTTGGTTCTTGTTTTTTTATTCAGTAGGGATTTATGTCCTCTTACATTATCAGCATATTATTGTATGTTTTCTTTCGTGGAAGTTACCATTTATTTTATTTTATTTTTATAATGTGAAACTTAGTATTGCTAGGAATGACTAAAATGTGTTGGGTTGATCATAAATATTCTTGGAAATATTTATGTTACTTGGGAATTAAAGATTTTTACTACATTAAATTAGTAAATAAAGGTAACGTGATATTTTTCCTGCAGTAAAACTTTTCTTTAATTTAGGAAAGTTAGATTTTTACGTCTTCCATGGGAACAATTTCATGGAAACCTAAGTAAAAAACATTCCTAAGAAACAATGTTTCCTTGGAATCTTATTTTTTAAATAATATAAATCAAATATGGGAAGCTAACATTCGCATTTTCAAATTCTTGGGAAACTAAAAACTTCTTGTATACCAAACACCTCTTTAGTTGAATCTTTTTTATATACTAAATTACTAATGTAGTTTTAATAAAAGTAATCAACCTCCATGTAAATTAGATTCTTATTTTAACCATTTATCATTTCAATCTGTTTGTGGGGCTAATTCTTTTGTTTTGTTTGATTAATGGGTTGATCAATTTTTGGTCATCACATGGTTCTCCAAGACTTCATATTGGCTGCTTCACATTGACAGGAAAGGAGAAAAATAGAGAGTTCATTTTTTGGTGGTAAAATATGTGGTGTTGCTGCAACTAATGCTCTTGAGTTGGGCATTGATGTTGGAGAAATTGATGCCACTCTGCATCTAGGATTTCCTGGTAGTATTGCAAGGTATTTGCCCAGTTACTTTAATATCCAATATCCATGACTAATTAAATGTTTTTAATAGCTTTGTATTTGAGGAATTATCTAATTTCCTTTAAATCATTTATACTTTTAGCTTGTGGCAACAAGCGGGTAGAGGTGGGAGGAGAAATAGACCATCACTTGCTGTCTATGTTGCATTTGGTGGGCCTCTTGATCAATACTTCATGAAACATCCCAAGAAACTTTTTGAAAGACCAATTGAATGTTGTCATGTTGATTCCCAAAACAAGCAGGTTCTTAACTTTGATATATTCTTTTTTAAAATTATCTATTTTGAATTTGAATGAATGGAAGGTTATACGCTAATTATGACAGGCTTTGTTCAGGTTCTTGAACAACATTTGGCCTGTGCAGCTCATGAACACCCTCTGAATGTGAGCTATGATGAGCAATATTTTGGTCCTTGCTTGGAGAGTGTTATAATTTCTCTAAAAGCTAGAGGATACTTGAGTTCTGCTCTATCATCTGATTCTTCTAAAATATGGAACTACATTGGTCCTGAGGTATATGTGATTTCTGAAGGAAACAAAAAAAAAAATAGGTTTCATGTCTGTCTGTTCTAGTTGACTTCTTCATTATTGAGCTCTATAAAATATTTGGAGATTCTAAGATTACTATTTTTTCTTGTTTACTCATGGTGCCTTCTTGGTTCCAGAAATTACCTTCACATGTTGTCAATATCCGAGCAATAGAAACTGTAAGATACAGTGTTGTAGATCTGAAAAAAAATGAAGTCCTTGAAGAGATAGAGGAAAGCAAGGCATTCTTTCAGGTTGTGACTTCTAGTTAATGATACAAGTGAAAAGAGGATTTTGCTTACTTGATGAATGGGTAATTTGGCTTCTTTTTTCTTGTCCCTATCTCATAAAGTGTATTTAACTTGATTCAGGTATATGAAGGTGCTGTGTATATGTGCCAGGGGAAAACTTATTTGGTTGAAAAATTAGATCTATCCAACAAAACTGCTTTCTGCAAAGAGGCTGATCTAAAGTATTATACAAAGACTCGAGATTACACTGATATTCATGTCATTGGGGGTAATATTGTATGTAATCTCTCGTTCCCTAGAGATCTTTGGGTTATCTTTATTAGTTTTATAGCTTATAACTATAGTTAAAATTTGGACACTATTGATTCTTGTTCTTTAGACTTGTGCAAGCTCATGTACACAGATCCTTTGGAAAATTATGATTTATTGTTAACTTATTGCTCAGGCCTGACTGCCTGTCAGTAAAGTAAAACTCTACCAGCTTAATGTTCTGCATAAATTGTGTAGAATAATACGTAGTTTATATAATTCCAGAAACTAGGAATAATGATGTTTATGTATTCCAAAGCTCATGTTTCTTCTATTGCCAGGCTTATCCAATCAAGGTAGAAACCAACATGTTTCTGAAATCAAATGCCCGGGCTGATGTATGCAAAGTAACAACTACTTGGTTTGGCTTTTATCGTATTTGGAGAGGAAGCAATCAAATCTTTGATACTGTTGACCTTGCACTTCCTCAATACTCGTACGAGTCACAGGTGAATGAGTTCTTTTATAGTTTATTAATATTATTATTTTTGTAATGAATTTCTTTTAGTTATTCTCATGTGGCATCTGTGTTTGTTTTAACGTTGGTATGTTCTATACCTCTATGTAGGCAGTTTGGGTTCCTGTGCCACAGCCAATAAAAGAAGCAGTAACCAAGCAAAATTATGATTTCCGAGGAGGCTTGCATGCTGCTTCACATGCAATTTTACATGTCGTGCCTTTGTAAGCTTCTTGAGTTAATTTTGACGTTTTGGAATCTGCATGTGATATACAAAAGTCTTATTTCTTCGATCCAAGTTCTGTGTTCTGTTGCGCATAAACTTTGTATTTGGTGTGGCTGGATATGCTGAGCCCTTTTTAAATTGTTTTTGCTTTAAATATCATGGCATTTAGCATTTGTAATTTTCCTTCTCACCCATTCACATTAATTATTATCAACAATATTATTGCTAGAGTCAATTACGATACCTCTCCTGGGTTTATTTTTCTCAATTACACACAGCTCACCACTTTTTCATGAATTACAATGATGTTCCTTATCTTTATTTTTCACCTGTATGTAAAGCTACAGTGTGGATTTACCTATTGACAAAATTTTAAACAAGGTGTATGACAAACAGGGGAGGTTAGTGTAATTTTTGAAAGAAATAAAGGTGGGTGTAATTTGAGCAAATCTTAAAAATGTTCATTGTTATTAGTCATATTATTCCAGCAGATACATAAGTTTTGGTAAAAGCTTTAGATCTCCATGTTAATGTATCATATTGTTAGCATTAGGAGTTTCAATCATTTGAATGCCACTTCTGATCCTAGCAAGATGTTGGTTTCTCATTAATTGCCTGTTGGTACCCTGTAGATGAAATATGATTATAAGAAATAATTACTCTCCCCATTCCTTTTTGTAAGATCCAAATCAAAATTATTCCTTGGTCTTTTTTATAAGAACTAATCTAAAATATTTATTGCATTAATTATTTTTTTTACAAAATATACCCTTAGTTAAAGTCATTTGTCTTAATTTTTATATGAAGTTGGTGGAGTATCTCAATGATGTTAAGGTTAGTTTTGTAAAAAAATATAAATTTAAAACAAATCTAATGTTATCAATCAAATTAACTAACTTTTTAATCCTGATAAATTAGATAACTAGGTCTTATATAAAGGACCGGAAGTAATTTATAATTGATTGTTGGTGTGTACTCAGATTCTTCCATTTTCTTGAGTTTGTTTATGCATGTTTTTGAAGTAAGGAATGTGGCTGAGAATTTCTCCTCATTGAGACGTCGGAGTCTACAAATTATACTCTTTTCTGCACTCAACCTTGTATTGATTAAAGTTAACATGAAAAGTGAAAATTTGCTAGCCTGGCAGTCCCCCTACTACATTCTTTCATGCTAAATTAGTTGGGTTTATACGAAGACATTAAAACTTTTTTCTGTTTCTACTACATGACGTTGGTATTCTTTTTCATGACATGTATTTCCTATAAATTTTATGTCTAAATATTATTATGCTTTTATTTGCAGACATATCACATGCAACTTGTCTGACTTGGCTCCTGAGTGTCCAAACCCTCATGATAGCCGTTATTACCCTGAAAGAATTCTAATATATGATCAACATCCTGGAGGGTGTGGAATTTCAGTACAGGTTTATAACGTGACCAGTCTAGCAATTTAGATATGTTGTTTCCTTTATATTTCCGTTAATACTTGATACTTATCTGATGCTTTTGTGGTTTTGGGTATTAAATTAACCTGTTATAATAGATTGGTAGTACCAGTTTATGGTTTAACAATCTTTCTTAGTGCCAATTAATGACCAGACTTCACCTCGTAATATTTTTGATAGGTTCAACCTTATTTCACAAAGTTTCTGGCAGCTGCACTAGAGCTTCTCACATGTTGCTGCTGCTCAGCGGAAGTAGGTTGCCCTAATTGTGTTCAGGTCTGGATTGTTTTTTCAATTTGAACTTGTCGGCTATTTTTAGTTTAGAAGAAAATTAGTTTGACAATTGCTTGATAGTTTTATTTCTTTTTAAATTGCATCCAAATTTGGCATCTAGTTTTCATAAAGCTTTTGCATATTGTAGAGCTTTGCTTGCCAAGAGTATAACGAGGTTTTACACAAGGATGCTGCCATCGTGATCATCAAGGTGACTTGATTGAACCTCATGATTTTTAGTGGATAATTGCATTTCAAACTCCACTTTGATGACCCGGGAAGTTATCCTTTCAGGGTATTCTGGATGCAGGGAACTAGTGCTTGAAAGAATGTGCTCGTCTATTCTGAAGGCAAGTAGGGAAAAAGCTCTTATGAAGTTTTCCTCTTAAAAGTGAATAAGGTATTTACTCTTAAATTTTAGTGAATTAATATTACGATGCCCTTTAAATTAAGGTACGCGTGCCTTATTTTGCTTTAAATAAGGTATTTACTCACTCTCACTTTTGAACTTGTTCTTATTGTCTTCTTTGTGGTTAGTTAGGAAAACAGTTAAATGTACCTCATCATTTCTCTCTCAAAATAAATTACATTTTTTATCCGTAGGAATTTCAACGATGATAACAAAGTTTGAACTAAGATCTTGTGCATATTACTCCAATATCTCATCACTAGGCCCTGGGGTGGAGCCAAAATTTGGCTTGAGGGGGATCAATTTTTTTTAAATGTAAATATTCTAACATCATAAATAATTTATTATCATTTACACTTTTTTTTTTCTTTCTATCACATTATATTATATCAATCTTACATATTTTTCTCCTTTTCTTTTTCTAAGTGCAAACTAACATGATAATTTTCATATATTAATTTATAATATTTTTTTGGCTAAAACCCTATTTTGGTCCCTTATAATCTTTTTTGTTTCAAAATTGGTCCCAAATTAATTAATTGGTTTCAATTTAGTCCCAAATTAATTAATTAGTTTCAATGTGGGACTTCCGTCCAAATTATTTAAATGGAGTTAACTTTTGGCCACGTGGATGCCACGTAGATGCATACGTGGCATCCACGTGGATGAGAAAATTCTTTTTAATACACCTGGACCCGGAACGGCCCGTTCTGAAACCGGAACAGGCCGTTCTGGTTGCAAAATTAAAACACCACCAGTGAAGCAGAACGGGCTGTTCTGAAATCAGAACGGGCCGTTCTGCTTTCAAAACGGCCCGTTCCAGAACTGTGAATAAAATATTCTTTACTTAATTGTATTTTTGATATTATAATTATGCAATTTTGATCTCTAAGGTTTTAATTGAGTAATTTCAGTCCTTAAAAGATTATAATTGTGTAATTTTAGTCTCACAATTTTTAATTGAACAATTTTAATCTCTCAAATATCATAATTGTGGAATTTTAGTCTTTCTCATTAAAAATTTAATAATTTTAAAATTTTAATATATATATATATA